CACCAGTGCCGTCTGCTGACAGCTCTGGTTTCTGGTTGGAGATCTCCAGTGACAGTGGGTTGTGAGCTTTGAGGAATAAATCCCCATTTCAATCCTTTATGTGAAGGACAGGCTTGAAACCTGCAGTCAGACCCGCCCCAGAGATGCGAGAGGTGATGTCCTCTGGCCTTGATGCTGCTCTTGTCACTTGGAGGAAGGGTAAGGAAGAACCAGGGTATGGAAGGACCCGGGAGCTGAGCAGGGCACACATCCAGCCTCTCATCCGAAGCACCGCAGGGGCTGAGAAAAGCCCAGGGCACGACAATATCAGGGACTGAGGGTCTTCCCATGGAAAACCTGAAACACTAGGACCAATGCAGCTCAAGGCATGACCACAGCAGAGCAACTGCTGGTGGCGAAAGGACTATTACATGCAGCTGACCTAAAATTTAGCTATATTTGCTGTATTTTCTACCTTGTCCAGTCTCATAGGTCTCTTCAGAAAAACCCCAGAGCCCCAACCTTGCATCTCAACGTTGGGAAGGATCTACCAACACTTACACAGGGGACCTCGGGCCTCATCACAGCCTGCCAGCGGCACATTTTGGAGCCCCGGGGGCGATGCTTACCCACACCGAGTTGTGTCCCACTGCCCACAAGGAGCTGGAAGGACTGGAAGATGGAGCAGTAATAGGTGCCGTTGTCCGAGGCGTGGAGGCGGCTGATGTGCAGGCTGTAGGAGGTGCGGGAACTCGCCCCATGGACGCTAAACTTGTCCTGGTCAATGTTTGCGCCATACGTGGCTTTGCCCAACACACTGGAAAATACCAAGAACTCAAAATTTTGCCCCTCCTGGCTCCAGCGGTACCAGTACACCCCGGCATTCTCCTTCAGCTCACAGAGGATTTCTATTTTACTGTTAGCTTGGGCTAAAATATGCTGTGGAGACTGGAATAAAAGTAGATTTGTACAGAAACCTAAGAAAAAAGAAATAGGAATACATCGTTATTATTTTCTTTGTAGGCTTAATGAGATCAAATAGTCACAGACCAGGGCATCACACCAGTGAGAAACAGGAGCATCTTTATCCCATATTCCCTCAGAGGCTTTTTTGAGTTCCCCAGCTATTTTTCAGCCAGGCCTAGCTATACAGGTAAGGTCTGCCTTGTAAACACTCACCTAGGGAGAAGGCTCAGTGGCAAGGACAGGGGTGGAGGGACGATTCTGAGGGTGTCCTTGGGGCTGTATGTGCAGGGAAGGTCATCCCCACCTGCTCCTGCGGATGCTCCTCTCCTACCCTCCTTTTCTCTCTCATTTTTTGGGAGAGGCTTCACCTCTCTTCCCACAGATTTTTTCTGAGCCTCTTTAACTTATTTGCCAGATTTTTATTCTAACAGATGAACACCAATAAACTTCATCTCAGGTGCAGAAAAAGACCAAAACCCATGCAAAAAATCTCAAAATGAGCCAACTTCATATTCGTTTTCAGAGAATGTTATTTTCATATGAATTTCAAGACGTGGGGAAGGAGAGGGAGGGAGGGGTAGCGGCGGGGTTGAAAGCTTCGGTTTGGCATCACATTGCTGTGTTTAGGCTTTGCAGCTTTTGTGTAAATTTTGAAATTATCTGAGTTGGGTTAGGCCTGGGCAGATGTGAGCGATGTCTGTGTGCGAGCGAGGAGGTGTCCTTGCGGAAAGGATAACAGGTGACTCATGATCCTTTCTGTTCAGCAAACAGTCCTACAAAGCTGCAGATACTCTGAGACCGAGTGAAAAACAGTCCTCGGAAGATAAGGATGCTCTCGCTTCCCCCCCCGTCTGTTTCCCAGGCGTGTTTTAAAGCTGTGCAGAAGGCTCAATAAAACATGGGGTTTGGCTTTTTTTACCTTAAAACATCTCTATTCCTTCAAAATCCCAAAGCTGCACACAGTAGTTGTTTCAAACTGCCTCATGCAGCCCTGCAAATCCTGTGGTGTGGGAATGGGTTTGCACAACCACAAGAACACCTGAAGCCATCCCTATGGCCCATGGCCCTGATATCCCCCATGTCCCCCATGGGGACAGGCAGAGGAGAGGGCTCTGGTGACTGACACAGGCCCAGAGCCTTCCTCCGTCCCTGCACTGATGACTCCATCGCTGCTGGCACGATGCTGCTTCAGCCCTAACGTGCAATGCTGAAATTCAGGCGTTACAGATCAGCCGCAACATTTACCACAACCTCTGCTGCTGCGACAGTATAAATGGCTCCTTATTATTAAAATACAACATTTTCAGGTTTTGGAATGCAATCCTCCCGAACTTTGCTCTGGCAAACACCTGTGTGATTTTTTTAGGGGATGAAATGTGTGTGGCCATGGGGCACGGCAGCTTCAGGGTCTCCCTGGCTGCCCTGTGGTCTGGCTCTGCTGGGCATGGGAAACTTAAGGGCCCATGAAAACCTTTTCCTTGAGCTGTTGGAGAGATTATTAGATGAATCAGAAGGGATGAGAAAGGATCCTGGAAAATGCTCAGCTCAGCTCTGAGCCAGTGGTCAAGTTCCACGGGGGTGAGCTGGGGTGGAACCAGAGCAGAAAAGCTCACCCTCTGCTGCACCTTCATCCCCCAAAACCTCCCTGTTCCCTCTCACGGTGTACAGTCTTGCAGGGACCACAGGGAACTGGGGTGGGACAGGTGTGAAAGGACATGTTTGGCCAGAGCAGCTTGCAGCAGCTTGAAAACAGTCTGTTTTCCTTTTGTACATGTGGAGCAAACTCTAATTTATGGGGGTTTTCTCACCATGGACCCCTCTGTACAGATCTATAGGATATTACTACCTAGATATAGGCATTGATAAAGCACCTTGGGCTGTTTGCTGCCAGATTGGCCGTGTTACGCTGTGGCTGAATGACCATCACAAGACACGAACAAAACACCCTGCAGTCCTCACAGCCCCTCGTGAGGATACTGGGCACCAGTGGACCTGGGTTAGGCAATGTCTCAGGCAACCAACTTGAGCTGCCACCCTCGTATATACATTTAAATGGTGTTTCAGGCTCTCAACATTTTCCACCTAAGAACCGATGGCACAATTTGTCCCATAAAGCGTAATTCTACCACTTTGCCATGACATTGACTGCATATACTTGGTCCAGACCTCCTGCCTGCAATAAGCAGAAGGCAGCACGGTTTTACAACACACCAGTTCCAGCTGTAGCCCTCGGGAAACACTCACTCCTCGGATAGATTTAGAAGAAAATTTGATGGGGTGTTTATCACCCTTGCGTTACACAGGCAGCGCAGATAGGTACTACTTTAATTTCTCCATCAGCAGCTTCCCACAGTCCATCTACACTATAAGAGAGTGCAGTAAAAACAAACTCTGCAGTGTCTACACCATCATATATTGCACTAAAAATAGAATAGAATAGAATAGAATAGAACAGAACAGAACAGAACAGAATAGGCTATTTCAGTTGGAAGGGACCTACAATGACCATCTAGTCCAACTGCCTGACCAGTCCAGGGCTGGCCACAAGCTAAAGCATGTTAATGGCATTGTCCAAAATTACGTGGCAATAGGTAATAATACGCCATAGACCTGTAGTATGCCTGTATATTTAAACTTTGATCATCCAGATGCTGTGCAACGCATCCCACGTGCTGAAGCAGCGTGGAGGAGAGGCTCCAGCATGATTTTAGGTGCCCTCAACCCTTAAGATATGTGTCCTTCTTACCTGGGATCTGGAGGCAGATGCAGAGATGGAGCCACAGCCGAGCCATCGCAGTGGAGACAACGATGGAGGGGGTTTGTGCCAGCTTCCCACTTCCACTCACGGTCACGTCTTGGTGGTGAGGCTGGCTTCACCCCAGGAGGTTCTTCCTCGTCTTGGCGCAGATGTCTCACCAACAGCTGCCAAAAAGCATCTGTCGCGGCAGCGCCTGGAGCCTCAGCCCCGCAGCTTCTTCTATGCTGAGCCCCCAAACCAGGTGTGTTTCTCCAGCACTGCACAAGATCCCCTGAAATCTCCCTTTAGGAAGAAAAGAATGAAAACTCATTGATTTTAAATTATGATTTCTTCATATTTCGTGACCTGGCTTTTCCTCCTTCTTTTAATCTAGCTCCGTGCAATTAAAAATGACAAATGTGGGAGCTTGGCATTAAAAACAAAAGCAGAAAAGATTGAATTTTGTCTGGTTTCTCCTCTTTGGAAACCCACATGCATTCAAAATAAGGAGAAGATGCAATTTGAGTTGTGGGGTTGTTTTCTTCAGCAGAATCTTTGGAGGGAGGTGTTTTTCTCTGGGCCTGGAAAATGCTGAACACCAAATTAGCTTGCCAGAAAGTGGAGGCACAAGGCATCACAGAACACTTTGAAGACAAGAGCAAGAAACCTCAAACAAATTTAGTGGTTGAAAACCCACAAATATAAGGAAATTCTGCTGGGGCTCCCCACCTTGCTGCTTTGGTAGCTGCACCACTGCACGGCTCATACGCAGAAATATTTAAATGATAGATAAAATATCAGAGCGGCTTTGAAATGTCTTTGGGAGGGAGAGATTTGAAGCACTTGGGGTTTAGGATTTGGAGAGTGAAATACGTGATGTGAAATTACAGGGGTGAACCGGTGTCAGCAGCCTTCAGTATTTCCATGTTTGGGGAAAAAAGAGAATTATTTATTAATTTTATTTATTCACTGCCCCCTTGGCTGCCAAGCGGGATTTGGTTTTCTTTTATGTCCTACTTGTGTGGATAATGATGGTCCCTACAAAGCCTCAGCATCTCCCCAGGGCTGGCTCCCTGGTGAGGGGGATTCCCCAGGGAGGTCTCAGGTAGGGGCAAAAAACCTCCCCCAGTGTTTGAGTTGGTGGACGAATAGGAAAAACAATTTTGCATCTCACGCAGTGTAATTTTTTGGTCCATTTTGAACGAGATTTTCCCATCCTGCTGTGACACATCCCCTCGTCATTTCTGTTTAAAATAATTTCCTGCTCAAAGCGGGTTGCTAACCACCAAAAGCCTTGCTGTCAAGGGCTCAGCTGCTAAAATTTAGGGTCGGCTGAATTGCTCCTTAACTCTTTCCTGGCAGGAGAAATTCATTTCAGTGCTTTCAAATGTATTTCAGTGCTTTCAAACGTATTTCAGTGCTTTTAAGGGCTTGCTTTTGGAGCTGAGCCCCCCAGCATGGAGTGCAGCCACCCTTTCTTCTGCCCTCCTTACCTCCTGCTTGCCTTTCCCCTCACTCCCAAAGAGGGACTGCTCCAGAACCGGGTGTAGGCACCTTTATTTATTTTTTTTATTTTTTTTTTTTGGGGGGGGGGGCACGGGTTTGCTTAATATGAGAAATGCCCCTGCAAGTGAATTTTCCCTTTGTCCCTGTGGTGAAGTCACTGAGCTGAGCCTGATGTTCCTGGTTGCTGCAATGGCTGCATCTCTCTTTTCCCACTGCTGCGGTCACCTGGAGCACCTTCTGGCCTCCTGGCCAAGACCAAAGTGCTCCCAGAGGTGGTTTTTTGTCACTCTTATGACCTCAGACATGGGGTATGTTACACTGGGCACCAAATGCTGCTGCAAGGCTGGTGACACTGGGTTTGTCTAAGCAGATATATTGGGTTGCCTAAGCAGATATTTTGGCTTGGGAGGATTCACAGAACACAGAACCACAGAATCATAGATTCCCCAGGCTGTTACAGCAGATTTAGAGACGCTTCCCTGCAGTGTTTTTACCTATAGGGTGTCTCCTATGGAAAGAAAAAGGAATATTTGCAATGTAAAATCATAGTGTGTGTGCTGGAACAGGGATTAATTTTTAGGTTTTTTTGGAAGCTGCTGTTTATACGCAGTTGAGCTATTTACTGGAGGCCAAGCTGTTCTCAGGACAGGTGTTGCTCCGATGAGAAAACATTTTGGAGGTGGGATGGCTTTGTCTGGCAGCCTATCTCCAACAAAAAGAAAAGCTTTGTGGGAACGTGCAGGAGAGCAGCTGCTGTTTATAACATCCCCACATTGTTTGGGTCTGCTGTCCTGTGAAGAAAATAGGGGAGGATCTGTTAACACAAACAAGATTTGTTGGTGACCTTGCTGGGGTACAGCGGCTCCTAATCACGAGTATTTGGCTCACAGCTGGGCCAAGATGGGGGGAATCGCTGAATTTTGGTGTATTCGTGTTATTTGGCTGCACAATTTCTTGGGGGAATTTATTCTTTTTCTGAAATGAAAGATGACCATCCCAGTCCCCAGCCCAGCCAACTCCTTGCCTCATCTTGGTGCTCGCCCTGTGGGTCCCCTCCTCACCCGTCCCAGGGGGAAGCAGCCCCTCTTCTTTTTCCCAGCCTGCACCCTGTGCACCTCACCCCACAGACACTAACTCCCCCTGCTTTGCCAGCTTTGTTATAGTTTGACTCTTTTCTCCCTGTGATGGGGTTTTTCCAGCAAAGTGTTTGCTTTTGGAGCAAAGCATTGGAGTAGAAGAAAGGGGTCTACAGGCAAGAAGCAGGACCTGGCTGGGGTTTCACCTCTGCTAAACTCCCATGTTGCAGCAGAGGTAATTGCAGCTGGGCTTTAAATGCCAGGCTGGAGGAACAGTTGCCATAAAAATAAGGAAAAATCCATTCCCTCTGTGCTTTTGGGGATACAAGGGGTGACTTTGGGGATCAGGGAAGGCTGATCAGCCTCAAGCCTGGTCCAACACAGCCAGTACTGCAGTACCTGAAAATAAGGGCCCACTGGGGATAATGGGCTACTGGATGGAAACTCCCCAGAACTCAAGCAGCCAAGGGTGAATATTTTTGTGCTTTTTCAATTTTTAAAAATGATTTTATTCCAGGGAAGGGCGTAGCTGCTGGAGTATTTTATTAGAGGGAAAAGCAGCAATGAAAATGGTAGCATTTTCACTGGGTAAGATGAGTACTACCTTTTCCTTTGGGTAATATCAGAAAAAAAATCCCACATGGGTCAAGTTTTCTTTTCTAAACTGCTCTGAGCTAAGATGTGGTTTGTAGGGAGAGGCTGGCAGGGGGGCATCTGCCTTTGCAGGTGCAGATTTGTAGCTGTACTTCAGCTGATGCAATATCACAGTCAAGGCTCCTGACACGTCGTGGGGTACCCACAAGGTATACGCCAGCGTGCAGCGGGCTGGTTTGTGGCACGGAAAAATGCTGCTTTTGAAGTCCACATGCCAAAATGGATCTAAATGACAAATTCTCTGAGTTTTCTTGCCATCTTG